GAAGCCACGACCCTCTGAATGTGGCCACGAACTCCAGAAAAGTACACTGTATGGCTAAGACTTTCTGTACTTAGGGCATACTCACACTAGAGCTTTCCAGAATGCATCTGACAGCGATTGCGCCCTGAGCTACCACGGATTTTTTTATTTTTTTTTCAGCGACGGATCTATTCAAATCTCAGCCCATACAATTCATTTTTTTTGTCTTTTCCTTCAGCCCGACTGGCGTGCCACATGAGTGAAAACAGGGTAACAATTAAGAACGAGATACAAAATTGAAAACAAAAAACTACCCACGGCCTGCTTTTCGGCCCATCAGCTTGCAGCAGGTACAACACGAAGAGGCCAGTATCCGCACACTCTCAGGCTCGGCAAGACGCATTTTTTGGATATTCAAAACAGGTATGCCTCAATATTACGGACCTTGGACTGTCCTAGACCTGGTAGGGGGTAATCGTAGCCACCCTCTGCACATGTGATTGATGTCCCTCCTCATCTGCGCACTTAAGCGCTTTTTCCATGCATCCGGACTCTTGCCCTTTCCAAGCGTGATCAGTTTCCTTCTTCGCATCCCATGCTGCCTCCAGCAATGGACGGTCGAGTTGATGTCAACCAAATTGCGGAACACAGGCTGTTGCCTGTGCAAAAGCCACCAGGCAGAGGCAGCCCACAGAAACCGCCGGGCAAGTATTGACTGGCGTTCATACATCGTCTGGTTCCCAGTGAAGGCCGGTGACTTGCGAGAGAGAGAGTTAGTTGTCGAGTCTGCTCCGTATGTGCTTCTGCGAGAGCAGGTTAATGGAGACCCTAATTTTCAGACCACTTGCCTTTTTTTTTCTCTAATACTATATATATAATACTATAAAGGAAGAAGCGGGTCTCGCGTGACGGGCCCAACAGAAACCAGGCGCCGCCACGCGGGACCGCTCCCAGCCAGTGGGCAAGGGGGAAGCGGTGTTAGTCCGCGAGTCCGTTTTTGGCGGACCCGAATCCGCTGCGCAAGGGTGGGAAGGTACAGCGCAAGGGGGGAACCGGTGTCAGTCTGCGAGGCGGTTTTTGGCGGACCTGAATCCGCTGCGCAAGGTCGGGAAGCCGGGGAAGGTACAGCGCTTCTTTTTTTTTTTTTGCTATTTGTGAGTCTGTGAGTCGCCCGGTGGGAATGAGCTGACAGGCCGCGCGGGGGCTGAAACGGTGCGAAGAGGCGCAGCCGGTGCGAAACCAGAGGACACAGGGGAGGAGCCCCGGCCAGGGGGGAACGGGCCGACAGAGGTACACACGCCGAGCAGCTGCAGCAGGCTGTACACTACTACATGTGCAGGCGTGTGTGTGTGTGTGTGTGTGTGTGTGTGTGTGTGCGCGCGCG